AGCCCTATTTTAAGTTGTCTAAGTTATGAACAGTTGACGTGACGTGGTCTGCAATGGTAGATGCATGACGGCTACTCGTGATCGCATTAAAATGCTCAGTTTTTCTGTCATGCAAACTACGTTTTGTTTTTCCAGTGTAGAAATCCTGTTTGTTTTGCCAATCTACATTGTGAAACAAAACGTAGATTGCATTTCTCGAATGCAAAATTATATTGAAAAGCATGCCGGAAGTCGTAAACCTATTAGCTCTCGCAGCATATCAGGTAATTAATTTTATTGCTTATGTCGAGTGAAGATGCATTCCACTTTTTTCAATGATTATTTTATGGATGCTTCAATTGATGGATAACCAAGTAAGTAAAATAGATGAAAATGAACATACTGATTTAGTCACTGGTAATAGATAATACTATCAGAAATGAAAAGAACATTTTAAAATAAGCTTACATGAAATTTTCAGGTTTATATCCATTCATTATTTCCAAACACATACTTGTAATTTTGCAAGTTTTCAACTTGCCATAAAATCTTTGTCTTTTGGTTAAGAGCCTAGAATTTTCCATTCTTTCCTAATATTTTATCCTTCTTTCTATATCATATCGTTATTTGCCAGTAGCTTCCTTTTGTAGTGATTAACAACGGAAAAGGTTTCTGAAGGACAAAGCTTCCTCACTTCCGTACAAAACCTTCCAATTTTTGCAATATTCATATCTTCATGAAATCTCAATCAACATGGCATTGGTCTGAAAATAGCTGCTCTGGCTATTTAAAACATGCTCTTTCCAGTTCTGAAATTTATTTAGTTGTATCTAAAAGTTTAGAGATTATCGATCACGTGACCAACTGTTCCAAAAGGCCTATTCATAGGGACCAAAGTTGTCCCTTCTATATTCTGTTCCAGGCAACATTTGAAGGTTGGATTGACGTCATGCATAATGCAGTTGATTCCACAGAGGTAAACTATCATGTATTATTTTGCAAGCGGTGGTGCAAGTGGCTAATGAAATTGCACACTATTGGGGAAAAACATGTTATAGACCCGATTCATAAATGGTTGCCAATTTAAAATTCTTTTGTATGCGTTTAAATTAGTCCAACTAACCTTGTTTGAAAGCAAAAATTCTTTTGCTTTATCAACTCAAAAACAAGGTTAGTTGGGCTTATTTTAATACTTGTAAAATAATTTTTAATTGGCAGCCATTTATGTATAGGGTCTATAACAAAGCTTGACATTTATCTCCTGGCTTTTGAAGGAAGCGTCTGAAGCAAACTGATCATTATTAATATAAGTTGCATTCACGCAAGAGACTATCATAGTATGTTGATTCAATCTAGCCCCTTCCTTTTTCACTGACGATGCTCTTCTCCTTTTTTCAGCTTGACGAGCAGCCACAGAAGAATAGCAACATGATCGCGTACATCTATTTTGTAGCATTTATCATTCTTGGTTCTTTCTTTGTCCTCAATCTGTTCGTCGGTGTTGTCATTGACAACTTCAACTCCTTGAAGAAGAAGGTACGTGTCAATGACTCAATCGAATAAGTAAAGGAAAAATGTCAATAGGACTTGAAGGAGCTACGTCACGCTTTGCGCATCTTGAAAAGACTAGCCGTAAATTTTCAATTTCGTCGTTTGTACACAACTATGTCAATCTTCAACATGCTTAACCATCCTTGCTCCTTTATGGTTTACTATTATCTCTTTGATGTTTTTCTATCTTAGTAAACTACNTACAGAAACCGGGATAAGCTCCGGCCTGATGGGCCACTTGGCTCGCATGCAGACTTTACCTACCTACCTAAGCCATCAAGCGCGGCACGTTGCAACGAGTAAAGTTTCTGATACAAGGAAAACAGGACGCCGCTACTCAATTATCCGGCATGTGTATATTCCCCCCCGCCCTCCTCCCTTACCTCGAATATCCTCAATAAAAGCATGTGTCTTTCATCAAATACTGGGCACGTTTAGCAGGAATTAGCAATTGCTCACGACCCGCTATACAAATCGAACGCGTACTATGGATAGTCCACGAAAAGTCCGTGCAACGCAGTCTTCAAGAACTTGACGTATCCATGTTCAATTTTGCAGTACGAAGAAATAAGCAGTATGGGCATGTTCCTAACAGAGACACAAAGGAAGTGGGTGAATTTCCTGAAAGAGGCAGCCAAGAAAAAGCCTCCTGCAAAAGGTTTAAGACCGAAGGTATGTTTTAAAGCAACTGAGATACTACACGCGCTGTCATTGGTCGATGGGTGCGTTTAGATGAGAGTATATGTAAAAACGGTTGTGACGTTTTAGATTCGCTCGTGTTCTTGAGAAATATGTCAAAAAAGCAATAGAGAACGTTCTCCGTGTTTACATTGTCTCATCTACCTTGGAGAATTTTCGAAAGTTATGCAAACCTTCGACTGCGTCTTCTTGTTTGCAGAACTGTCTCGAATTTTCCGAACGCCAAATCCTCTTAGGGTTTAGATGAGCCTATGTAAACATGGAAAAAGTACTTTATTGTTTAAATAGCATAAGGCGTAACAAACATTTTGAATATTGAACGTATGACTCTGAAGGTTTCCGATCGGGAGAGTTCTAGGATAGAGGGCCACTCCTTTATCAATAACTATTGTAATGCTCCTTCCTCTGTAAATAAAGCTGCTCACCTTAATTGCCTACTTACAACAGGACCGATGTCGTGCCGTGTTATACGACGTGGTGACAGGAGACAAGTTTGAGATCGCCATTCTGACAGTGATAATATGTAACATGGTGATGATGATGATACAGCATTACGGACAGTCGGCCCAGGTCTCCAGCATCTTGCATATCCTTTGAAAGATATAACATGTGATGTATACTAGTAGATTTTATCCAATATATCAACAAGCGTGTTATTATGCTCGATCTTGTATCGCAAATAGTGCGCATATGTTTTCTGGTGGATGGGCTACAGTTAACATCCGGTAATGTACCTCCCCGTTCCAAAACGTCGCTTCTAAGCCCTCCCTACCCCCACCCCCCGCCCGCCTCTAGTTTAACATGTCTCCTCACGAAAAGAATTTTTAGCCCCATTCAACTTTTCTATGTTAACCTAACCAACCAACGTCTCCATAGAACATTGCACTTCAAGTAGATGGATGAAGATTTTTGATCAGAGTGACCTTTTTACAACTCAGTTTCTTTAAGTCATTCCTAGTCAGTTCATTTCCAAGCGGTTTTTCAGTTAAGGCCGTCTACAGTCCCCCTCCTTTTACTCTCTGTTATGTACTTCCTAGGTTTTAGCTCTAAGCCCAGAGGTTACGACCGCACCAAACGATTAGTTATCTTTCTTGTAAGCAGTGTAAATACGGCCAGAAGATGTCTAAAGGACCATTTCGTGTTTAACGGAATGATGCAATATTCTTCAACAATAACATTATTCATTAAAGTGAACTCAGGGCTAGTTTCCTTGACTATCGCCTGATCGGCTAACACGGATCTCAAACTGGGTTTTCACTGGAATATTCACAGCTGAAGCTATCGCGAAACTGATTGCCTTGCGACAGCATTACTTTAAGAAGGCGTGGAATGTATTTGATTTCATCATAGTTATTTCATCACTCATTGGTAAGGAGGTGGTAAAGTTATTTGTTGTATGAAGTGATAAAAGTATGTGCAATTATATATATGAATTGGAAGAGAGAGACCAATTGTGCTGTTTGCGTAGCACCTTTCAGTCGAAACCATTTTATGCTGATCCTAGAGAAAGTGTTCACATCAATGAAAACAGTATCGTTAACGATGATGTTTGAAAATTCCTTTTCAAACTCATAAGTAATTCGTCAAGTTTAAAAAAAGGAAATCATGACCGTGACAGTGTTAAGATGTCGAATCTTAATTAGCACATATTTTTACAATTTAATTTCTTCTCCTCAGTTTCGATTGAGAAGATACCTATATAACAAACACTCAAGACAGTGTTTGATCGCATTTCCAAACATCACAAAGTTCATCAAAAATACTCCGCTACGCGTCGTATTTTCAACTTCCTCCTCGGTGTTTAGAAACGTGATCTATTACGGTCTTCCGTGTTTGATATATTACTTCAAATGGCACTCGCCTAATTCGTGCAATTTTGGGAGAATTTTGGAATTTCACTGGTAGTGTAAATTCTTGATTGCACTCGCAATCGCATAATTATCTATAAAAACCGAGTGTGATGAAAGTGAGTTCTCCGTATTTTACAGGGGTAGTACTTGACGAAATCAGCGTCAAAGATACAGTAGTCAATCCCAGTCTCCTGCGCGTCATGCGGATCTTCAGAATCGCCAGGCTACTAAGAGTGCTTGAATTTGCCAAAGGAATTCGGCAGCTTCTTGTTGCACTGATGATCTCACTGCCGGCATTATTCAACATCGGCACTTTGTTATTTTTGGTCATTTTCATCTACGCCATCATAGGCATGTCGGCTTTCGGTCGAGTCAAGAAGCAAGGAAATCTGGATAACATCGTAAATTTTGAAACGTTTGGGAGTTCCATGATGCTGCTGTTCCGTCTCTCCACTGGCTCGGGCTGGAATGACGTCATGAGTTCATTGTCGCTTCAACCACCGGACTGCGACCCAAATTACGAAGGCTTTCCAAAAGGGAACTGTGGTTCTCCTCTCGGAGCTGCCAGCTACCTCATCAGCTACATCGTTATCGTGTTTATGATCATTGTCAACATGTATATCGCTGTAATTCTTGAAAACGTCAACCGCGCTCACGAAAACGACGATTTTGCCATAACGAAAGAAGATTTTGACAGGTATTATCTTAAATGGGCTGCCTTTGTTCCAAATGGAAAGCAATTCATTCCTCTAAGTCAACTATCGGACTTTGTGGACGCGCTGGATAAACCATTCAGGCATCCCAAACCTAACGACGAGCGGTTGCGACAATTAGATATCACCATACGAGCCGGCGAACTCATTCACTGCTTTGATCTGCTCAAGGCGCTCGTGCGGTGCATTCTGGAAGAGCACGGCGAGTCGCCAGATGTGTTCCAGGATATTACAGTCAGAATGGAAGCACAGTTTACAAAGTCTTTAGGAAGGAAGCATTCCATCGCTGTCCTTGGCTCCACGCAAACAAAATTTCAATGCGGTGAGCAAACTGAAGTGGTATAAAACAAAGGATTAAATGGCATCAAGGGGAAAGGCGATAAATCAAGAATGTTTGGAGCTGTTTGGGTGCTTACCTTAAATATGAGTCATTGAGAAACAGAGCAAGGCTTGTGGATGGTCTTTTTAAGAAACCAAGTTCTGGACATGCCCCAGAGACTGCTACAAAATCCTCACAATAATGGCGACTATGCTGATTTTTCCAGAGGAATGAAATCGATAACAGTTAGGCCTGATTTATTT